CTTCTTGAGCATGCGTTGGTTTTTCCCTTGAAGAGGAAAGGGTGATGCAACAAAGTAGAGGTAAGTATTTGCCTCAGTTAAGAAGCATGGTATCAATCCAGTAGGAGGAACACACAAGTCTCCAATTTTCTCACCTACACAAACAAACAGATACTTGCACCCAATGCGATAAAGGGGTTGTCAATCCCTTCACGGTTACTTGCAAGGATGAGATCTGATAGAGATGGATATTAAAGATAAGTAAAAGTGCAAAAGAATATAAAATTAAATAAATTGCAGCAGGGTATTTTTGGGTTTTTGATTTTGTAGATATGAAAATAATATGATAAAAATAGACCCGGGGACCATAATTTTCACTAGAGGCTTCTCTCTTGAAAGAAAGCATACGGTGGATAAACAAATTACTATTGAGAAATGGATAGAAAAGCGAATAATTATGACAATATCCAAGGCAATGATCATGTCTATAGGCATAACGTCCGAGACAAGTAGACCGACTCCTTCCTGGATCTACTACTATTACTCCACACATCGACCGCTATCCAGCATGCTCTAGTGTATTAAGCTAACAAGAACGGAGTAACGCCTTAAGCAAGATGACATGATATAGAGGGATAGATCTAATCAATATGAATAAACCCCATCTTTTTATCCTTAATGGTAACAATACAAATACATGGCATATCCCTTCTTTCACTGCGATTGAGCACCGCAAGATTGAAACCATTACAAAGCACCTCTCCCATTGCAAGAAAAATCAATCTAGTTGGACAAACCAAATCAATAGACCGGAGAGAAATACAAAGCTATATAAATCATGCATAAAGAGTTCAGAAAAGACTCAAATGATCTTCATAGATAATCTAATCATAAACCCACAATTCATTGGATGTCAACAAACGCACCACAAAAGAAGATTACATTGAATAGATCTTCAAGAACACCGAGGATAACATTGTATTGAAGATCAAAGAGAGAGAATAAGCCATCTAGCTACTAGCTATGGACCCGTAGGTCTGTGGTAAACTACTCACACATCATCGAAAGGGCACCAAGGTTGATGTAGAAGCTCTCCGTGATCGAATCCACCTCCGGCGGAGTACCGAAAAAGGCCCCAAGATGGGATCTCACGAGGAAAGAAGCTTGCGATGGCAAAAAAGTATTTTTCGTGCGCCCTTGGTCTACAGGGAATATTTGGGTATTTATAGAAGAAAAATTAGGGTTGGAAGTTCCACGAGGGGCCCACAAGCTCGGGGGTGCCCCTAGGGCGTGCCCCCTGAGCTTGTGGCTATCTCGTGGCCCTTCTGGCCTCCTCCCGAAGCTTCCAAGGTGTCTCGTGGTCCAAGAAAAATCGTCAAAAAGTTTTGTTCCATTTGGACTTCGTTTGGTATTGATATTATGTAAAGGCAAAAACAAGGAAAAAAACTATAGCTGGCACTAGGTTAATAGGTTAGTCCCAAAAAGTGATATAAAATAGCATAATAATGTATATAAAACATCTAAGATTGATAATATAATAGCATGAAACTATCAAAAATATAGATACATTGGAGACATATCAAGGACTAAGGATTTCCTCCTTGTCTATGGAGGTGGTGAAGAGCTCATTGTAATGATTACAATGATACTAGCTTCATGGCTGATAAAGATGACTATAAATCTCAATTATGCTACATTTTCACAGTCAAGGGTGGTGTAGTGTGTTGGAAGCGTTCTAAGTAGAATGTTGTTGCGGATTCTACGATGGAGGTGAGAGCTTCAGAAGTTTCGAAGGAGACGGTCTAGATCAAGAAGTTTCTTGAATAACTAGGTGTGTTTCCAAGCGCATTGAACCCAATGGAGCCCTATTGTGATAATAGTGGTGTTGTGGCTCGGGCAAAGGAGCCAAGGTCCCACCAAAAGTCCAGACATATTGAGTGCAAGTATCACGTTATCCGAGATCATCTAGATAAGGGTTTTGTGAAGTACCCAAGATTCACATGGATCGGAACTTGCTAGACCCAATGACGAAGCCTCTACAAAGAGCAACACATGAACAACACACGATTACCATTGGTGTAAAATAAGTTACCAAGAGTAGATTATTGACTCTAGTGCAAGTTGAGACTGTTGAAAATATGCCCTAGAGGAAATAATAATTGTGTTATTATTCATTTCCAAGTTTATAATTAATGTTTATGTTCTATGTTATAACTACAATGGTTTTCGAGTCTGCAATAACCATGAGGCTCACAGAAAAACTCATGTGCACATGTAGAATAATAAATGGTAAAATAGATTCCCAGTCTTGCCTCTAGGACTAACTCAATTGTTGCATGATGGTTATGTCTTCCTAATCATAGGCACAAGTTAAGTGTAATAATGATGTCAGCAATATTAAGGGAACGATGTTAGAAGAACACTTGCTTTGAATTAATCCTTGTTGTATGTTATACTAGGAGACGATTTCATCACAAGTCCATAGTCTATAACACGAGAAAAATAATGTATGCATATTCCTTAGACCATGATAGTGTCGAGTCACTTCATACTTCAACAGGGTGGTCATAACGGGAACTTACAAGTTCATCAAAAACGTATGACAAGGGACTAGAAACCTGAGACTGGGATTTCTTCCTCCGACGATGGAGAGATATTCTTAGGACCCTCTCGGTGTGACGATATCCATCATCATCTGTTCAGACAGAGCGTGAATTGCACAGGGATGCCGACACACGGGAATGAGACAATGAGAACAAAACCAATAACGAGGACACTGGCATAGTGATCATGAGTTGACTCACGAGGATGCCGATACATCTCACCTCGGGTTTTGTAAAGTATCGCAAAGCAAAAGGAATAACATATGGTAGCTACAGGTTCACTCGATCATCATTCGTGGGGATATAGGAGTCAATATGGAAGTCCACGGCTATTGATCATTGAATCAAAGGTGTTTTGGTCATTTCTATATTTCACGGAATCTGTAGGGTCACATGCTTAAGGGTCTTCGATTTGTTGAGTGCTAACTGATTTAGGAGCTTCGGAGAATATCACTAGAAAAGTTTCAGAGTTAAGGTAACATAAATTGTTTTGAGAGAGAATCGGAAGTGTTTCGAAGAAACACAGATAAAACCAAGAAGGTGGAAAAGTTTTTGAAAGATGTATAATTGCGTAGGGGGGCTTCGAAAATTTTCTCGGAGCCCCCTAGGATTAAAGAGGCGCCCTGGAGCCCCTATAGGGGCAGCAACATGGGCCTTAAGTCCTAATAAGGGCGCCCCTTAGGCCTTGCGCCGAAGTTAACTTGGTGCGGCTAGGGCTTGGGGGGCACCCCTTGGTGCACCACCTCCCAAGCTTTAATTTCTTGAATTTGTTATATCTTTTGAACCAAAAGTTCAATTTATATTTCGTTTGCATATTTCATATTTCTTCTGATGAGTGCTTTAAAACAATACCACTTTTCAATATGTTTTGAATTTTTAAAAAAACTTCGTCAAGTTTCAACTAACAAAACTTGATAGGAACAATTGATACATTCACCAAGTTTTACAAACTAAATTTAACCATAAGCCCTAAACTCTAAAAGCAAATGAAACCATGTGAAACTTAGTAAAAACTTAATATTACCACTACTAAGTTTTAACATTGAAACTTAGTAAAAAAATAAAAAATTATTCAAAATCGTTCTTCTTCAAAAGTACTTGTTGCAACGAACACAAATGTGCAAAAAAAAGTGGACAGTTCAAAAGATACAATAGATTCAAATTTGAAGAGGAAATGAAAAGACACGAGAGGTGGGGTGGATGGGGCTACGAAAAATGCATGCCAGCGGCACCATTTCCACAACTCCAAGTTCTTCTTCTGGCGAGCATACGACTCCAATGTCCTCATTTTCGCAAACCTAAGCTATCGAACATCTACAATCAGGCTCGTCAACCCCCCCCCCCCAATCCACCCTACATCCGGGCGGACGGCCTAGTCAGTGACCAATCACAAAAACGTGACCCAATCGGAATCCTCAAACTGGCCCTATATGTCCGACCTGATCGGCACACCTCATATCCAGTTCAAATTTGGGGTGGATATGAGGAGGCCTGCCATGTTCGATCCGATAGACAGGACCCACCATAAAATTTCACCAAATTGACCAAGTCCATGAAATCCACTGCCTTTCTCTCGCACCCGTCCTCCATTTCCCATGTCTTAGTCGTTGATGTCCTCCACCCCCCCCCCCATATCCGAGCCACCACCGCACCCGGCGGCCTCGATGCTGTCGCTCGATACCCCCGCCCCCATCGCCGGGACGGATGTTGCCTCGATGTCGTCCATGCACTTGTTGGCGGACGCAAACCACTTGGATGCGGAAGTCAAGAAGTGCCTTGAGAGAAAGAAGGAGATCAACATGCGTAGAGAGTACGAGAGGACGGAACCGAAATGGATGGCCGCAGAGGACTTGGCACAGATGGCGTCCGACAAGTGTCCTATCACACTGGCCAGCCGTGACCTGGACTTGAATTTATTTTGGTATGTCCAGAATGTTGAACCGTGATATATTTTGCTTCTTGCATTGTGAATTGTTGAATTTGTGTTATATGATCTGCATCCATGGATCACATGGATTTAAGAGTTTAGATTTGAAGAGTGTGGCTGTCCGCAGGGGCTGTCCAGCGTTTAGGGGGACGGATAAGTCCGGCTGATAATCTAGACGTATACACTTCGATTTACAGCACGGAAGACGCGCAACTGTAAACGGGCATGTTACAGTACAGTTGACACCCTCAGAAATGAGCAGGGTTCGTTCCGAAAAAACAAAGGCGCAGAGTACTTCAAAGCTCAAACAGTCCAGTGATCCAGTGTTCCCAAAGACTCAGAAGCGACGGCATCCAGGACGAAGTAAAAAAATGGCAGTAGATTTCAAAGCGAGCAGCTACAGATCAAACAAAAATTCATGGTCCAGGTCATTTTTCTGATCTTATCTGATTTTATCCGCTACTAGTACTAGTACTGGAAAGCGCACGTTTTCACCAGTAGGAGGAGGAGCCGAGAGACGACGGCCGAGGTCGCTTGCTGCCGGTCCACGCCGCCCCCGCGTGCATCTGCGGTACCCACAGCTCGCGGCTGGCCCGCTCACCCGCGGCGACAACGACTCCACCGATCAGCTGCTCCTGGCCCGCCCACGCCGGGTACCCTTCTTGCGGCCCACCGATCCGAGCCAGCCCTACCTGCTGAGACGCCCAAGTTGCCAAAATTAGTCCAAGCCAAAGAAAAAAAAACATGTCTTTTTTGTACATGCAGATGGCTTAAATCTGGAATGCCAAAAGTGGTACTAGGAGCGAGTAGATATTCCCATGGCCATTTTGCGTTAGAGCATCATATCCTGATGGTCTCCACTAGACATTATCCTGACACCCTGGTCAGCCGCTTCGGATTTTTCTCGGTGCTAGTTGCGAGCATGACAACAAACTACCTTAATGATTGCGAGCTCAAAGGTGTTGGGAGCGGGGCGTGGTTACTGGTTAGAGCAGACGAACTGTCTAAATGATTGCGAGCTCAAAAATATTGGGAGTACTGGAAGCATGCGCGTGTTCATGGTGCTCGCAAGATATCTTTGATTGCCTAATACGACTTGTTTGGAACTGACCTGATACGGCTTGTTTGAGGAGACGGTGACGGCGGCCGAGGCGGCGGCGTCGTCCAGGAGGAAGTCCTCGACGTGCCACCCGGGCAGCGTCTTGGTTAGGTACTCGGAGATGCTGCTGCCGTCGCTCGCGGTCGCGCTGGCGCTCGCCGTGCCACTGGCGTCGCCGCTGCAGGAGTCGGCGTTGCAGGGGCTGGTGCTGTTCCCTTCTTCCTCCTCCTGACCCGACGGCGCGGGGGACTCCGCCGGCGCCGACGAGACGCGCACGCCGGTGAGCAGGAACCGGCCGTGCCGCCTCGTCAGCTCGCTGACCGTGTGCACCTGGACGTCGCACTCCCGGCACAGGATCGCCCTGTCCTCCTTGCAGAACAGGAACCCCCTCTTCTCCTGCAGCCCACAACGAGATAACATCAGGTTTCGCCGTAGCACAACACAAATGACACACAACTCTCTGAAAACAAACGTTCTTTGCATATCTCATTCTCACCTGGCAGATGTCGCAGAGAGGCGGCTTTGACGAAGGCGGCGAGGAGGGCGAGGACGGAGACGGGTGGAGGAGGGACAGGCGGCGGTGCTTGCCGGCGAGCTTGTTGGCGCGGTGGACGCGGCGGTCGCACGCGTCGCACAGCGCGGCCTCGTCGGCGCAGCAGAAGACTGAGGCCGCCTCGGCCTCGCACACGTCGCACTGCACCTTCATGGCACGATCTGGGCACGCAGCTAGCACAAGCCAATCGACCGCTCGAGAGATGGAGTGGGCGGCTAGAGATAGGCAAGGCAGGTCACGGGGCCAGGCCAATATCTCGGGCTCTCTCTCGGTCAGAGATGTTGCTACTGCATACCGGCACGCGAGAGGTGTTTATATATCGGCCAGGAGGACATGGTAAGAAGGCAGCTGAGTGGGCGGTGCCACTGTGCCAGTGCGTGTTGGGGATAGAGATTTGCGGTGAGGTGAAGAGGCCTTGTTCCTTGGGCGAGGGGAAGGGGGGTCTATGCTGACCTACCCAGCTACCCTGATCTCTGATACTACTAGATCTGATAAATCATGATAGATCTGATAGATGCATTGGATTGCATCCCTTTCGGTCCTGGTGCATATGAATGCAGTAGGAATGAAGTCTCTGTACGTTGTGATCTATTCCTACTCTCTTTTTTTCGTAAAAGAAGTTCAAATTTTCACACGGAAAATATCGTTGTTGCTACAAAAAGTAGCCCGCCACGAATTTAAAGAGGAAAAAAATATGGTGCAGAGACCGGGGGGTACTGCGGTATGAATGAGCATAAATCCTCCATGTTGTGAGGATATATTACCATTCGATTGTAACCCTATAAATTTGAAATAAAGCTCCCATCAGTTTCGCAAAAGAAAAAGGCAGGGAGGCTTAAACTCCTTTTTGAAAAAAAAGGAGGGAAACAACGAGATCACACTCACAGTTATATCCCGGACGGAGTAGATCTGAAAACACACATCTTGTCCTTTCTAGGGTTTTATTGTGTATTTTTAGTTGCTCTCATGCTTCAATGTCAATAAAACAAATACATAAGAAAAAGAGAAAAGGGCATTCACTTTTGGGACCACATTTTGTTGCTATCCAGACCCGATCAACTTGTGCAAGTGCTTACCTTGGAGCGGCTAAGCTCTCTGTACAAGGAAATCAAGGCACATACAGACATGCAAATCCAGGAGGATAAGAGCTTGCTAGATGTTACTAGTACTCTATCCGCTTCTAAATATAAGTTTTTTTGGATATTTCAATATGGGCTACACACGAATGCATATAGACGTATTTTACTCATTTTGCTCCGTATGTAGTCTATATTAGAATCTCAAAAAAAACACAAATTTAGGAACGGAGGGGTACTTATCACGGTTTACCTCCTGTCTACAACTGCTAGCACATGAATGGACATGTAGAGCTGAACCGATAACCTTTATTCACATCACATTATCTTGATTTTGATTTGCTGAACTGATGAAAAGTTCAGGCAAAAAACCTTTTTGGGCTCAGTGATTAGGCATCCCTGAATTGCATGACATGAAATGGGCTGGCGACAGGGATCAGAGCTCAAAGGTCAGACGCGGGCGAATGGGCGCTCCCAGCTCAGGTCAGGCTCGCAACAAGAGCATTGTCCTTCAACTTGAGGCTGGCCATAGTGATGATATCTTAGCTAGTACTCCCTCCGTTAGGAATTACTTGTCTCAGCTAGTACTCCCTCTGTTAGGAATTACTTGTCTTGAAAATGGATATATCTAGAACTAAAATACATCTAGATACATCCATTTCTACGACAAGTAATTCCGAACGGAGGGAGTATCATACACTTGGAAATAGCAAACACGCTGACGTGACAGAGAATTAAAGAAGAGAGAGAGTGTTAGAGTAATATAGGTAGATACCGTATCATACTAAATATTATTATTTTTCAATAAAGGACATTTCATTGAATAGATATATCGAGGTGATACAATCGCATCGAAAGAAAGCCCGGCCTCCGCATAGCTAGATGCACACAGCCAAAAAAGTCCAGTACCCTAAAAGCAAAAAATAATTTGATACAATGCCAATCAAAAAAACATGTCCAGCCTAAGGAGTGGCAGATCCTATCCGTAGGTCACACCGCCATCCATGGGGGTAGAAAATCTTCCTGGCCGTACGCTTCAGTCGTGTAGACGCCATCATAAAAAGGTCTCTGTCCTCCGGCCTCTGTAGGATAGACCAAGTACGAAGCCATCGTGTACACACATGAATAACCTGCATAGGAGATGAGACACATTTGTTATTAAAAATCACATCGTCATTCCTGGTAAGCCACAGTGCCCAGCATAAGGCCGCCGCTCCCACAAAAATATGTGCAGAAAATTGTTTATCAATACCCCGCAACCAGTTGCCGAACATGTTCCGTGCACTACGTGGTGGGTATAGATTTGAAGCTACTTGAACTATGGCCCAAACTGCCCGAGCGAACTTGCACTCAAAAAATAAGTGTTTGATAGACTTGTCATGTTGGCAAAAGACACATGTCTTGGAACCATGCCAGTTTCGTCGTGCCAGATTGTCTCTAGTTAGGATGACTCCTCTGTTAAGAAACCAGAGGAAAATCTTCACTCTTAGAGGGATTTTGAGCTTCCACAATTTCTTGTTATCAACTGAAACATCACAATGAACAATTGCATCATACATGGATTTGACTGAAAATTTGCCATTCTGATGCAAGTTTCATCGAAAAATGTCCGGCTCATCTGACAGTTGAATGTCCTCCAGGCGAGTGAGTAATTCATTCCATGCTGCCAGGCGAGGGCCAAAAAGGTCCCTACAGAAAGAAATATCAGGGTTTTCTTGTCCTAAAACTAGTTTGATTGTGACGAATTTATGTCTAACAATCCTATACAAGCTCGGATATTGCACCATTAGTGGGTTATTCCCTAGCTAGATATCTTCCTAGAATCGAACCTGAGAACCGTCCCTAACTGAGAAGGTCCCAAATTGGAAAAAGAATTCCTTGGCCTTCATCACACCACTCCAGAAATGCGAATCCCCAGGTTTCCAATGAACTTGAGAAATGGCATTGGATCCCACATACTTGTTGCGAATGATTTCCTGCCATACTCCATTCTTAGTGAGTAGTTTGTAAACCCACTTACCGAGAAGAGCAATGTTTTTAATCTCAACGTCTTGGATTCCCAGCCCCCCTTGACTTTTAGGTCTGCATAATATGATCCACCTAGCCAGTCGATATTTCTTGGATTCGTTATCGCATTGCCAAAAAAATCTGGATCTAAAGTAGTCTAGTCGCTGGAGAACCCCTTTCGGTATGTGGAAGAATGACAACATATATAAAACCATGTTGCTTAGAACTGAATTGATCAAGATCAATCGTCCCCCGTAAGACAAGAGCTTGGCCTTCCAACTGGCTAAGCGTTTCTCAAGTCTCTCTTCAACATGCTTACACTCAGCGATAGTTAAGCGTCGATAGTATATGGGAATACCTAGATATCGAATCGGAAACTGCCCGAGCTGGCATCCAAAAATCTCAGCGTATGTAACATCCCCAGCATCACACTACAATAATCTCCCTCTAATGAAGGTCGTGTCATCATGATCATCATGCCAAAATACCACTTGTCCAAAATCTGCTTCAAATTCAAATTCAAATTGCATGTCAAATATTTGCTTCTTCTTTCATGCAAATAAAATAGTTCATCCAATGGCAAATAATTCCTAGATATTTTCATGTTGAAGCCAACATTTTTGGAATTCCCAAATTACCCCTGAGAATTTATTATCTGGTCTAGCAGTATTTAAGATGTCCTTTTCATTTTCTAAAAATGCTTGTACAGCTCCTGAAGGCCCAAAATTTTTTGTCGCAGTGCCCAATTATTCTTTGAAATTGTTTTGACCAGTGGCATAATTTTGCAAAGTTATTAGTGTCTAAAAAGAAGATGCAAAAGCTGTTGGAAAAACAGAAAATAAATTAAAAGGGAAAAGCAGAGGGGAGAGAGAGAAAAGAGCCCCTGGCCTCCCATTGGGCCTCGGCCCACTCCAGCTGGCCAGCCCAACTCCCCCTCCCCGGTCGGTTCTCTATGCCCCCGACCCTGTCACTACAGAAGCAGGGCTCCCGCCCGACCACATCGCCGGCCACGCCGACGAGAGGATAAGGCCGAACCCCGCAACCCCTCGGGCTCCCCACACCCCACTAACCCCTCCCGGATCCATTCATCCCCACGCGTCTCTCCTTCTCCTGCTCCGCTCCCAACCGAGCGCATCCGGTGCCGTCGCTGCATCGTCCAGCGTGGCCGGCGAGCTCCTCCCGTCGCCCCGCTACATCCTTCGGACCCGCCTCCCTTGACCATGCCTTCCCGATGGGCCGCAGGACGCCGGGCGCCCCCGAACGCTGCCTCGGCCTCTTCTTCTGTCTTCAGCCACTGGAGCTCTATCGCGACGATTCGCCGCCTTCGTGCTTGCCCAACCTCACTGGCCTCCCGTGCCGCATCGATGTGACCTTGTTGTCCTCCCCTCCTGTCCCCCTTCCTTTAATACGTCGTAGATCGCCGCTCCTGTTTTGCTCCCCGACCACCCTCAACCCACGCCTGCACCCGCATCGTGCGCGCCGTGGCTGAAATCGCCCGCGACCGCTCGACTACATTGTCGCCGCTGCTCGCCGCTGTTTCTGGCACGCGCCCGCCGCCCCACGCCTCCGGCATGCCGCCATCGACCACCGCGACCCTACTGGCCGGCTGCGCCGAGCTGGGATCCGCCCTGACATGGCCCTGAGTAGGCCTCTGGCCGCCGACGCCTTGTGCGTTCATGCGTGCCCTGCCTGGGAGGCCGGTTGTGCCTCTGCTAGTGGGTCAACCCAACTAGATTAGGGGGGCCTAATTAACTCAATTAACTTAACCTTTTACTAACCCTTCACTTACATATGGGTCCTCCTGCTAATAAAACGTGGCTAAATAAGTTTACTAAAACGGTGTCAAGACATGTGGCCCCCTGGGTAATATAAAAGGTTTAATTCAACTCTAGTTAAAAGCTGGCTCTATGACATGTAGGCCCCATAAAATTGTTCACCTTTGACCAGACAACTGTTGACTCCTGAGTCAACGGTTGACCTGGCCCCACCTGACATACTCTAAGGCTAGCTACTGCTGTGTATAAAAGGGGTTTTGCACTGTTTTGGATAATTCAAATTAAATAATTACAG